AGTCTCATTAGTCCTGAGAAATGAAGGAAAAGTTGATTGTGACAAGATGGTAAGATGCGGTGTTATTGAGAGAACGCAGATACAGTGGTGGTGGTTAGCAACCCAATCACATGCAATAATAAGAAAAGTTACGGATTTAGGTAGATTCAAGAGAGTTGAATAAGGCTACCAAATGCAACATAGCCCAAGGGAGCACTGGGGAAAGACATGTCTAGACTTCCAACGGCAAGAATATTTCCAGATCTAGATGCAAGCCTGTGATTTTGACAACTTCAGCTTGATAAAATGTTAAACTCTACACCTTCAACTCTCTTTCTGCTGACTCATTTTTAAGTAACTTTGCTCTGTGATTGCTTCAGAACCTGAAAAGTGCCACTCCACAGAATTTTAAATCCTTTAAAATCCAGGTGGAAGCAGCTATTTATAACCTCTTGAGCTAATGTGATAATCATCAAAGCACATTTTCTTCACCATATAGGCCTTTTATAGGTTTCTTTCTTTTTGTTTTTCTTCCATAAGAAAGAGAGAAGAACAACTGTGTCAGTGTTAAGCTCTGTGTCAAATAGATTCCAGATTTAGATTCCTGTCTGATATAGGCAAAGGACCTAGAGGTAGAGCTTCATGACATGTGGCCTTCAGAAGTGAGGCCAACATCCAAAGTTTCTCTGCATTGCTGCTTTTCCCCAATGCCAGTTCACAATTCTTTCTACTTCATTAGCTGCTGCATGCACTGCATCTGTGTGAAAAACAACCCCTTTCATAAGCCCGCAAGGATTATTTTTAAACATTCTTTTTCACCGTGTTTCTAGTATGTCCCCACAAAAACTTTGTAGCGTCCCAAATGAGAACGTGGCAGTCCATGACATAAAAGCAAACTGAGGTATATGGTGTCTGGATATTCTTGAATGAGATTCTGTTTCTGAAGTCAATATGTTGTGAAACTGCATCCTGGGTCTCTCACACATCACACGACAAATGCACTTACAATTGGCCTCTGTAATGAGCCTCCTTTTGGGCCAATAATTATTCAGTTATTCTAAAGCATGTTACAAGTATCATCATGTATTCAACTGGAGCAATTTCAAAGGGTCCCTTTGCAGAATTGTAAATACTCTGCCTATCAAGCAACTCACCTGCTATGGAAGAAAATAGCAGGGAGTGTATCCAAGTTAAGATTTCACATTTCCTATAGGATTGTGTTCTCTAGGGAGGTTTTTAGCAATCAGATACAGTCTGAGAGGTTGTTTGTTTGGTTGGTTGGTTTTTTCTCTGATTTTAACCAGAAATTGCACACTCAACCCAAGAAATCTTTTCCTCAGAAATTACTGGATTAGTAACATATATCAAAACCAGATTCTGGTAATTCCTGTGCAGTTCTGAGAAGGACCCGATCACATCAATATAAACAAGTAATGACTCATCCTAAAACACAGGAAACAATTCTGAAAACATAAGTACATTTTTAAAGCACACCAAAGACTTTTTAGAGCATTTAAGCCTTCAAGAGCTTCTAAGTGTAAAAGTCACAGCAGCAGCAAGAAGGTTTGAAGTAATCGTGAGTCAAGGAATATTATTTCTGAGTAATGAGAAGTACTGAATGATGTCAACTCGTAAGTGACTGAAAGACTGATCCTGAGGGGATGGTCAACAGTGAAAGGCCAGACACTTCCAAGTATAACTTTTTGTAGGATCTATCAATGTGAAGCTGCTGCACATATTGAAAGAAAAAACTCCAAATCATAATGCCACACAGCACGAGGTCAGAAATGTTAAACAGAGCCCACAAGAGCCTATCTGGGTTTTGAGACATAAAACACTATATAGAATGTCACATAAATGCCGTTGCAGAAAATAAAAATAAAATCTGCAACAAGTATGGGAAACGATGCAGAAGAACTGCGATTCCTATTGAACTTGCTGGGCAATAATGGAATAATTAATTAAGCTAATAATGGTGGTCTTCTTTTCTTCAGGGAGGAAGGGTATTATTTGAAGAGCTGAGGGAAGTTTGGATTTTGCTTCTTTTCTCTCTCTAAACACAGCAGCTAGATCACTTTCAAAAGACCAAAGAAAAAAGGTGAATAGATTGTCATTTGAAAGTGAGTTGTTGCCCACCCTAAATTCCCAGACTTGACGTTTCTGGCACTTGCCGTAGGAGTGTTGGCCAAATCATTCCTTCCAAGCAGAGCCCAGTTTCGCCTTGGCAGAAGCAACATATGGCAATGGGTGTCTTTGAGATACAAAGCCTCTTCAAGCACCACTGAAGTGCTGCCATTGCCCCTCTCCTTATAAGGGGGTGTAGCATATGCTATCCTGACTAGCTGATTAGCACTACTTAGAGCTAAATAGCAGGAGGACGACCCACCCGGAGCAGTTTTTACCCTTCTCTGTGTCTTTAGACTGGCATATCCCACAGAGGAAGGCAAAACGTGAGTGGTCTCTCACATGAAGGATGAAAAAAGATAGTAACTCTCATCTCTCCTAAAGGGATGCTGTGTTTTGTCTCTTAAAACGCAGTCTTGGACAAGTTAGTACTCATTGTACCTAATCCGTACATTTTCTGGGCAAAATATATATTGACTGGGGATGATCGTTTGATTATTTGGTTGCTGTAAAATAGCCTGGAGTGTTAGACATTCATTCTACATGAGAAAGTTAAAATTTGAGTCTTTGTACTCTCTTTTTCTTATAAGAAGAAGTGGTTGTGCCTTCTTTATGCAACTAGAAGTAAATTGAGTGTAACAACATCATTGTAAGATGATGTGCTTTATAAAGTCCTGAATATGGTGAATCTTTTGTGTTTTGTTTCTAATTGTTTGCTCAGTACAAAAGGATAATTCATTAGGCCGATTCTCCAAATAATCTCAAAGTGACATGAATTCCTTTGCGGAGTGAATGTCTGCAGCAAGTAATCCATGGAAAACAGACAGGCGTCTCTTGTCATTTTGGAGCTCTAATCCACTGCCTGGAGCATGAAAATCCTCAGGATAACAAGTGTGGGAATGACCAAAATCAACATTATTTTTGGATTTTATGTGCTTAACAATGCTGTTGATCAATAGAATTGCTGAATCTGGCAGATACAATGCCACAGGATTAATGAATTAAGCTCAGGAAGCAGAAGAATTTGTTAAAGAGGAGAGGGGGAAAGCCCCTTCTTTTCCACTGGTGTGTGAATATTAAGCAATGAAAGCAGCAATTACAGAATTTTAGCCCTTGCTTTACCGTAAGCATCAAGTCTGGTTCTGCATGAGTCTCTACATTTTAATTAGAACCATACTGACACCCGCATTTCCAACTATGAACTTCAGTTTCAAAGTTAAGGCTATTTCCTAGATGCTGGCTTAGTAGCTAGGTCTGAACGCAGAAAAGAGATGCTGTGTTCTGTAAAATTCAGAGTGTAGTGTGGTCGCCGTCGGTGGGACTAGATAACTGGTTTTTAGCCCGCAGGAAATTAATGCTAAAAGGAAGGAAGAGATCTACTGAAATACCGTAGACTCTGTCACCACAAAGCACTCACAGACTTTTTTTTTCCAGAAAAGCATAAAACAAAATAAAGAGGGCTCAGCACACCTCTTTGAAGATGCCAGTGTTTTGTAAAGGTCGATGGCCAGCATTTCTGTCAATATTGCATTAGGAACGTACTACAGGGTACATACCTGTGTAAGACATTACATTACCAAATGCACATTAAATTGATATTCAGCACAGCACGGAAAATTTAATAAACTGTCACTCACTAGAAGGGGGTTGTTCAGTTGTGTGGGAGGGGAGAGCTTAAGTTAGCTTATATGTTTGTATTTACAGCTCCTTAACATTTAGAAGACATCTGGGGATTTTGTGCATCCTTTTGTTTAAACAAACAAACAAAAATCCTTATCTAGTTTCACTGCATAAAAATGTAAGATTATAATAACCGCACAGTCCTAGAAATTGGAAGGTTTGGAAGGTTTTTAACTTACAAGAACACTTCAGAGAATACTCCAGTGTAATTTATAAGCCCCTCTAGACCTGTACATGTCTTGAACTGACTGTTAAAGTGGGCTTTACTAGGAATTTCTTTTGCTGAATTGGAGTAGTGCAGGAGGTGGGGAGGGCGGGAGGGTTGGAGCAGCCTTCCCTAACAAGGCTTTAAAAGCTTCAGTGGTAAAGTTGTGCTGATGGGAGACTTTCGTACTTGTTTTTAACTGGGAGCAACCCGAAGAGGATTACGTTATGGGCAGAAGATGTTATTTATGTGGGTAGCAACGCTGTGGGTTGTGTTGCGCTGTTGTTGTGGTTTTGGTGTTTTGGTGTTTTGTTTTTTTTGTTTTTTTTTTTTCAAGGGGGACGCACATCTTTTAATTAGAACCGTAAAATGAAATTTAAAAAAAGAAAAAAAACCCAAACAAAAAAACCCCACCAAAACCCCCAAACCCCACCTTAAAACCAATGTGTTGTTTACATCAGATATGCCTCTCTGTTGAACACGCAAAAAAAATGGCAATAACTGCTTAGAAAACACAGCACTGGCTGCAGAGCATCCTCAAAGAATAACGTTTAAGGCAGAGCAGAGACGTGAGAGAAGGAGGTGCCTCTGAGACATGTAAAGCCAGTGATGGATCCAGCACAGCAAACACCAGTGGAGAGGGGCACTGAGAGGAACCGAGGACAAGTACCAAAATGCAGTCCCGAGTAGCATTGCACAGTCTTGAAAAGGCATATGGGGAGTTTGATCTATTTTACCAAATGCAGAATTGATTTAGCGTTGTGGCAGCCCTGCTAGATTTACTACCTCCTTCTCTTGCTCTGAAAAAACAGGCTGCTAGCTGTATCTAGAGAGATAAGTGTAGGAGCTGTGGTACAATCAGACCACGAACGCAGGATGGATTGGGTCTGGACTCTGCTTCATTAATCTGCAATCTCCCTACCACAGATGAAGAGAAAGAAAATGCACTTCAGTGCAAAATGCGGTTTTGTGCGGCTCCGGCTCGCAGGGACCCTACAGTGGCTGCTGCAGCATGGGCTGGCTCAGGGGGATTGCCTTGCTTTCCTTGGGAGTATTACTAGCAGGACGAGTGAACTGCCAGCATGTGAAGAATAATGTGCCAAGGCTCAAATTATCCTATAAAGGTAAGTCTGTTGTTCTCTCTTATTCTCGGTTTTCCTCAAAACCTCTCCTTGCCCGGCGCTCCCCCACCCCCCCTTCCCTCCCTGGTTTTCCTTATCTTCCAAAGGGGAAATTGGCATTAAGGGCAGAAAAAAAAAAAAAAAAAAAAAAAAAAAAATCTGAAAAATTACTTAAAAAGCCACTCCGTGGTACGGTCGGTACCACGCAGTTTAAAGACAGACAAAGAAGAGTTAGTTGCATTTGCAGACAAGGACTCCGGATCGTGCTGATCCGTGGAAGAGTATTTTTCAGTCTTGTGCCATTTCATCGGACTTTACTCCTTAAAACGATAAGACGTGTTTGGCTACCCAGCTAATCTCTCCCGTGCTGGGCATGTAGTGCAGCCACAATACCAGGTCTGTTTCAAACAGCATGGAATAGATGAAGATTTATAATTTTTTGTCCTTATTTAGGCATGAAGTGGTTAATTTTCAAGTCATGAATATTCAGTTTGTACAAATCTGACAATCAGATGCCTAACATAAGCAGTGGATGGTGGCTTTGCCAAGAAACTATAAACTGAAAGGAACAGATCAGTCCAGAAAAGGAGGAAAGGACTGTTAGGCACTAGGAAACACTGCCTATGGATGTTTAATGCAGTGCAGTTTATTTGAACTGGGATTGTTTGCGGCGTGGTCTGATGTATTCCATTAGAGATCCCAGGGAAGGTGTAACTGAAGAAAACAGAGCTGTGAGATTACGTTTGCGTTCGAAAATTGTGTAATGCCATTCACACTGCAATTGTCAGTAATTAACTTTTGCATAATACTGCCAGTGTTGAAGGAGGACTCCGGAGCAGGCAGACTCTTTATCAGCATAGTTCCTCTCTAAGTCCATTTTCAGAAGGATTCGCCCAATCTGGAGAATGTGCAACCGGGAAAGAAGTTTAAAATGTAAAGAGCTGTAAGAGTATTATTCCTGAAATGGAGCTCTATACATCTCTGCGTATATGCATGTCTCTCTGAAGAGCTGCCGTCTCCTAATTCTCAGATTACTGAAGGCTGGGAGAAGGAGCAGCAGCTACGGTTGTGAAAGGAGGAAAAGTAACACACTGCTTCTACAGTGGAAAAAAAGAGAACGTGTGTGTGCATGCCTGGTCATAGATGTCAATCTCAGTTCACACTATAGTGTCAGTACATCTCTTGCCAGTAGAAATACGTTTTCCCATTTTTCTCCTCTTTCTCGTGCTGCAAACGAGGGGGGGGGGAAGTCCTCTCTGATACATGGCAGACGTCATTTTCGCACTCCAGATGAAAAAAAAATTAAACACCTGCAAAACTTGGATGCACTGTAAGAAATAAATGCGTGTGCAGGGTTTTATTAGAGAACACATATATGTGTATTTGTGTGTGCTTAAACTTGGAAAGACAGGGATGGAAGGAAGAGTTTAAGGGGTTCAGGATCTGTTAATTTGGTTTTCATAGGAAAAACCATTTGCATTTAACACAAAATTGATTATTTTGAATAATGGAATCTGAATAAAGCTTCTAGCATGACTACATGTCATGTCGAAAAACTCATTTAAAAACCTCTTACTTGCTTCCAAACTTTTACAATCATACTGAAACTCAGATTAGTATATAGAAGCATAAATGTTATAAAAATATCCTGTAAAGGGGTTTAACGGCTAATTAATTATTGTTTATTTTTTTTTCACCCTTTTAAAGTTTATTGCCAGCTCAAGTCTGCTACCCCTGCTCATACTGACTAAATTCACAGAAACTAGTTTCAAAGGATGGCCCAACCTGACTGAGGGTGGTTTTCTTTTTTTCTTTTTGTTTTCTTTTTTTCACCCCACTGGTACTGTATCCATATACACTTTAGCACCATTTTGCTACTCTGCTGGTTGGTTGTTTTCCAGTTCTGCTCTTGCTGGGAGAAGGGGGTCTCATTTTCATTTTTTAAAGATATCAGACATCAAATTTTAATATCCAGTCAGTCCTATATGAGCAAAAAAGGAAACTGAAAGGAACATTGAAACTGGTTTTATAATTGGCAGATCATTGTAAAAAGAAAATGGGTTCAAATGCTGAGTAAATGAAAGTAAATGCATAGTTGATTCAAAGCGATTTAAAGTCTGAAGACTTACAGGAATTCACACCCTGGCCTTTGATTTGCACTCTGGCCTTTGATTCGCATATTTGACTTAAAACATGCGCAACCCTAAAAATCAGATCAGACTGCTCTCATGCGTAATGTTAAGTGCCGGTGTAAATGCATGGCCAGGTGGAGAGGAGCGTGTTGCCTGTGCTGCTGCACTGATCCCTAAGTATGGGGGTATCGTTACTAGTCAGGGGAAACTAAGCCTTATCAGCTGGTGCTTTTCCAGCCAAATTTGGCTTCCAGCACAGTATTCTATGCACAGATCAACGTTAACACCTTGCGTAGGAACAGCCTTAAGAGCTGTAGGTATTGAAAATATGTCTTTTAGGCACTGACTGAATACCTTACATGCTAATGTGTTTCTTGTCAGGGTATACCTCACCGCTATAAACTACGTGCTACTACATGATTCATCTCTATTCAAACTGCTTGCAATTAGGAAAAGAAGCTACCCAGTTAGTTACCCATTCTGCCTCTCCATGAAGAGCTGTGGTTGAGTAAAATAAACTTAATGCTATTGAAAAAAGACACACAGGGTGAAAAGAACGTCCAAGTGACTTCTCTTTTCAGTGACTGTCATGGTGCTTTCTTTTAACATGCATGCTTGTTTTTTTGCCTAAACAAATACCTAGGAGCTAATTGTCGGTGCTTTATTTCAAAAGAAAAGCAAGGATGTTTTTTAACTTCTCATTTTTTTCAACTAATTAGATGTCAAACATCGTTAAAAAGCTCAGGCATTTGCTTTAAAAGTTAGCAAAATGAGTCATGAAGGGTTAAATCCCTGCCAACCTTGATTTCCTATGGTCACTTGTTTTCAAAGGTCCAGTATTAGCTCTGCCATTTCCCAGGTTGCTGGACAGAAGTTTCAGTGAACTGCCATTCTTGCTTCCTCGAAACTTCTTGTCACTCAGTCTTGCAGAAGGTTAGAAGCATCCTACAGGGCACGTTATGCATAGGAAGAGGAAGGGAAAGTGTATAAATGCATATATTAAGGCCACGTCTGCGGACTGAAAAGGTTCTTTCTGTTTATTGTAAAACAGAGTTCTGGTTATTTGGTTTGTATCACCTTGATTTTGGTGGCATATTAAAGGAAGGAAATTTGAGGAGAGCACTAGGGAAATCCTTGTCCAGCTGAAATCTGTGGTGAAACTCCTGTTCTGTAGCATCAGGGTTTTTCTCCGTACACGTTAAAGTTTCCAAGCATTTTCATCTTAGTGCATGGATTGGCAAGGCTTTGCACAGATGATATTTATCTCCTTATTTCAGTCAAAGGTAATTAATGTGTTCCAAAGTTCACTGAAGTCAGTAAGTTCTGGATCATAGCCTAAATGTGGTAAAACCAGCTATAAAACTGAAAGCTCAGTTGACTCCTTCAACCTCTGAGCTCCTCTTATTGTGTCCTTCAAAGACTTTATGTCCTTACTGTAAAGTAACAAGAAATCTAACTGATGATATGTCAAAAGTAAAGGGATCTTTCCTTAAAGAATGTAGGGGGAGTTGTTGGGGTTTTTTGTTTGGTTTGGTTTTGTTGGGTTTTCTTGTTTTTTTTTTAATCTCATTGGCTTCAATATTGGTGTCTGCTGTAAGTCTCTATATTGTGTCACTAGGTCACAGACTCTGTTCAGGAAACTTCTACTGAGCACAGCGTTCTCAGAAAGATGCTGATCAAGTTGAGTGTGCAAAGTTTAAAACAATAAATATAGTCTTAACTCCAGATGGATTTCTTGTATCATTTATTGTTTCCTATTTTCTTTTGCTGTCCTCTGTACGGGGAGGTAATGGCACAAACAGAGCTGGAACCAGCTACAGTAACCTTTAAATATAAACATATAAGCCCAAAGAAAGAGAGAGTTTCCATTAATGATTAATTGATTTACAGATTTTTCCTAAGGCAACCCCGATTTTGTTCTCCACATGAGTAAATCCTGTCAACCCAACTTTCTCAAATCCATCTGTCGCGTTCTATTTTTCTATTGAAAATTACTAAATGCTGTAAGTACGTTTTGTAAGAGTACATGTGTGGTTCTTCTTTGTTATTGTTGCTCAATTGGATACATATTACTTGAGAATAAGTAACTGGAAAAGCATTGCGCACAGATTTAGCTCTATTGCTCCCTGGCTCCAGTTCAAGCCATATTAAAAATAAGCGTTTTGTTTAAAGTTGCAGTGATAGTGAGAACTACTCCATCCTTGAAGTGCGGTTGGTTTACAGTTTTATAGGATGGATTTTTATATGGCTGAAATGCTGGCCCTAGTGAAAGCAATGGCAAAACTTGTGTCCGTTTCAATCAGTCCAACATGCCATGACGAGGGAGGAATGACACCGCACTGAATTACCTGTATGTTCGCTCGTGTAAATATGATACCTGATTTGTAGTTTGTTAACCCAGTCTGGTTGTAGTTGATGACCTGCTGGTGGGTTTGATTGTGGTTTTTCCTTTCCATCAAACTCTATAACTCACAATTCAATACCTCCACAAATATTGGGAAAGCAGGACAAAGTGGGAGAAGGAAATGGGGAAAGAAATTCTGGCAAGGGAGCCTGTCTCTCCTGAGTTGGAGTTTGTCTCAGATTTCAAGGTATCTGCTTGGAAAAACTTTTGCTTAAACTATGTTGTAAGAGTACTCTCGGAGGGAAAAGCCTTTCTAAAGTGCCTGTAAAGGAGAGAAGGGAAGCCCAGACTTAGGAAGAAGACCATGAAGGAAGGCAAACTGGTGACATTTGCAGTCTAGGCGCAGGTTTGTAATGCTCTCCAGCTTCCACTGTTCCTGATGGCATCTCCGCACGGCTCTGATGCTCTCGGACCTCACTCTTCAGTCAGTGCAGGAGGCTGGAGGCAGTGAAGACACCAGAGGCAGCCACA